TCGGAAAACGACCCGAGTCCCGAAACCGTCCGGTGACCCCGAATCCCCAATGACTCACCACACGGTGTGGTCACCGCACCGTTTGGGGACTCTCGAGTCTGCAAACCCCCCTTCTCTTATTCTCCTGCGCACAGGGCACCGGCAGCAGCCTCAAGCACCCCCCTCCGTGTGCCCGAGCATGCAGGGATGCAGTGGTGCTCTCTCAGCGCTGCGTTCCACGTAAAACCGCCTCGTGGACCCCCAACAATGCAAACATTGGAGATGTGAGCAAGTCCCGTGCTTCCCCACAGTGACCCGGCTGTCTGGCCCTCGCTTTTTCATCATCAGCTTCTCATGATGGTCGTTAAGACGAGCCGCGTAAGACACTGCTCGACGAACACCGTATCGGATTGATCGGCGCTGGGTGAAAACACATAGGACGAACGAAGCAAGAGCACGTGAGGGCGCCTACGGCGCACAGTCTCATCGTCCTGCCAAAGTTCATGCCATTGTGTACCCAGCCTAGTTTGAAGGCCGAATTCATGTCATGCGCGCGGCCAATACCTTTACACTGGTGACGCTGGTGGCAATCACGCCAAAGCTCATTTAATTATGTACCCAGCCTAGTTTCAAGCTCGAATTCATGACTCGTACGCGCCCACTACCTTACATTGGTGTTGCTGGTGGCAATCACACGTCGTAGGCTGAGGGTGGAGCCGAAAAGTCGATGGAGGAAACCAAGACGGTATCCAGTATGATGGACATGGAGCGACCCTGGGAAGACAGCGGTGGCACGCAAAGCGTGACGACATCCAGCGCCGCGCTAGCCTAGCGCCTTGGCAGCGGCAGCTCAGGAGGCCTCTTGCCAGGGCTACGTGACTGGGGTCCTCCCATTGAATTCTGACGGCAGCGGGGCAATGGGACGGGGCCAGCCCAGTCGATCTGCAGAAGAAAAAGCAGCACAAACATAAACTTTTTGGCGCTCCGCGCGGCTTTCTTGGATCCGCGCTGGGCCCCCCCTGCCTGGCGCGCGTGGGGGGGCCCCTCCGTGCGGATCCCAGACATCCGCGCGGAGCGCCAAACATGCTGTGTGTGCTTGTGGCTTTTCTCTCTTCTTCGAAGCTGGCCGTGCCGGCACGGCGCCCGCGGGACCTCCGCGGTCGGGCTCGGAGCGCAGGGCTGCGCCACCGCGGGGCGGCGCGTGGGGCCCCCCTCACGGCAGCGGCGGGAGCGGCCCGCCGAGGCCCGCCGTGGCCGCCTCCCAGCACTGCCGCCAGTCGTCGGGGCTCTTGAAGGGGTGGAAGGCGGCCGCCGCGGTGTCGTGGCAGTCGACGCCGAGGCAGACGCCGTCGCTGCTGAGGGAGAAGTCGTCGATGGGGTCGGCGCCGAGGAAGTCGAGGCACTTGGCAAGGAACACGTCCTCTCCCCAGTCCTCCCAGGCCAGCTCTGCCACGCAGCGGTCGACGTTCTCCCTGTACAGCTCGAGGCCTCCCTTGGATATGGCCTCCAACGAGCCGTACATCATAGGGTATTCGGGGTTTTCAGGGTGCTCGTTGCAATTTCGGACGAAGCTCTTCGAACCCGTCCCTGGCCTCAGATGGTCTCGCAGCCTGTCCACCAAGACAACAGCGTCAGGGTCCGCCTTGATAGCCCAATCAAACTTCAGAATGGTCGTGCGCGTCAGGATGACGTTCCACGCCAACATGAACAGCTGTGCATTTCCAGCCGTCCCGTCCTTCGAGACGCCGACTTCTACGCCCTGGAATCGAATTGTCCTCACCTCACCCACGCGCCCGCCGGGGCCCTGGCCGATCGTCCACTCGTCCTGGCTCGCTACTGCGAAGCTGTCGCACCCGAAGATGCCCGCGCCCTTGCTCAGCTGTAGCCTCATCACGTCTGCCTCGTAGCCTGTCTGCTGGGCAAGGCTCCAGCAGAACAGCGAAGGGTCACCCTTCCAGCTTGCGGCCCTACAGGGCATCGAGCAGTTTGCCGCGTCCACATGCTTGCTGAGGTGGCTCTGGAAGTCCTCTGGGGTCGCGTCCCCCGCGAGGTCGGAATAATCCTCTGGGTTCTGCTTCACACCCTCGTTCATGGCGTATATCACGCTCTGATCGCATTTGGACCCAGTGTTCAATCTTTCGCATGCGCAGCTCTTACCACACTTGGATTTGTTGTTCTTCGTGGTATATAGATAATCTTGCACCTCCTCGAACGATGACCATGCGTTAAGGTCGTCGTAGCTCGTCGGGTTCTTCCTGATCCTGCGCATTGTCTTGATTACCTCATTGTAACAACCATCGCCATCATCCGGCGTCATACAGAGAGTTGTGGTTGCGGAAGTGGTGGTTACTGTGGTCGGGACTTTCGTCGTGGTCATGCTCGTGTTCGTTGTCATGCCGCTGGCGGTTTGGGTGGATGATGTGTTCGCGCTTCTGACGGTGGTGGTTTCCTTTGGACGCCCGAAATGGGTACGGAAAGAATGGGTACAATGCCCAACAGCAGTTCCTGCTCATTTTGACCAGGATTCGCTGTCCACGCCGCCGCGGCCTGTGTCCATTCGAGACAGAGGGCCGCCTGCCCAACCGCGGCCGCTGTTGGTTTGGGACAAGACTTGTTGTTGGGCATTGTACCCATTCTTTCCGTACCCATTTCGGGCGTCCAAGTCTCCGTCGTGGCCGAGCTGGTATTGCCTTCTGGACCGGCAGCCGCCAGCGGACGGAGGACGCTCTCCACGACGTGCCAGATGCCGTCGGCAGGTCCTCGCGGGCTTCCCAGAACTCCGACACTTTGCCTTCTTGACAGCGTGGACGCTGTGCCTTCTTCACAGCGTGGGCCCCCCCGAATGTTCTGACCATTCCCCCCCCGTGGACTGGCTATTATTCATCCTGTGTCAACTTTGGCGGTCTGGGGCCCTGCGGGGGCCCCCAGAGGCCGACAACCTTGAGCAACCATGGAATCTCACCCTCCGTCGTGATCTGTCACAACGGGAGCAAATACAACGAAGGCTCTCGCCTGGAGGACCCCGGCCCCAGGACGGCAAGGGGGTCTCTGTGCCACGCGCTATCTCGGCCAAGGGGCACGACAGATCCGGCCGCCCTGTGACCGAGGCGCCTCTGGCTGGACTCTATTTCCTCTGGGTGGAAGAATTCGAAGCCTCAGCACCTGGAGCAGCACGCCTTCATCGGAGAGCGAGATCAGTGCGTCTGGGGTCGCAGAAGGAAGCCTTCCCAAAGATCCTGGCATCGCAATTTTGTCGCTTTTTGGAGGCAAGGGACCCTCACGGAACGATCCAGCCCGAAAAATGCAGCAGAGAGACAGGGTTCAGGGCTCCTGGCTTACGTATTTCTTCCAGCGATGTTGCAACTGGTCGTGCCGTCGGATCCCAGGGGACAGACCTCTCCCCATTGCTGGCATGCACCTCGGCTCCCCCGACCTCCTCTCGTTGAACAACCCTACGACGAGGAGGTCACTCGAGTCTGTGGGCCCCCGTGCCCCCCACCAGGCACTGGGACGGGCAGACAGCGGCTCGGGGGGGTCCGCTCCTCCTCCTCCTCCTCCTCCTCCTCCTCCTCCTCCGCCTCCTCCTCGTGAAAAGTCACGACGTCGGAGCTCGAGGCCGGAGGCGCGCGACAGACATGTCGAGTCACTCGGGCCGCTCGCGCGCGAAGCCGGCCAGAGCTTCGGTGGCCCGGCCCAGCGCCGCCCTCCGGCCCGAGCCGCGCGCGCCACTGCAAGGCAGAGCTGCCCGCGGGGCGGGTCCAGCCGTGGCCCGCAAGGCGAGGGCGCCCCGAGGAGGCCCCCTCAGAAGGCCCCCCCCCCGAGCGCATCCGCGTCTCGTGCCTCGATTCCTCCTCCCCGGCTCCTCGAGGCCTCTGGACGTCCCCGCATGTCGCCGAGGGGTCTCTCGAGGTCTCCGAAGTCGAGGCTTCTGGAAGCGTCTGGGCCCCCCACGACAATCACGAAAGCCTCGAGCAACCTCCAACAAGCTCCGAGGAAGCAGGATGAGGAGGAGGAGGAGGAGGAGGAGGAGGAGGAGGAGGAGGAGGAGGAGGAGGACCACCCTCCTGGTCGTCGGGGCCGTTCGGGGCGATCCCAGCACTCCTGGAACGTCTCTCGGCGAGGCGCGGCTGCTCGAAGGCACCCCGAGGCTGGAACGCCGCCGAGAGCCGACCGACGAGAAACCGCCCGCAGACCTCGAGAGGAACCCGCGCGGAGCGCCAGCGCGGCTCTGTCTATGCAGCTTGTTCTTCTTCGACTCAAGCCCACCCCATGTACTCCAGATTTCGTAATAAAAGGGAGGGGGTCTCAACCCTCCCAGGCGAGAAGTTTTAGACCCCCCCCGTGGGAGAACCCTCCAAAACATCGTCCCCAGACCCCCCCAGGCCCTCCAAGATAGCCTGGAAGAGACCCCCCCCCGAAATGAGACCCCCCTCCCTTTATTACGAAATCTGGAATAGATGGGTTCGGAGGAGTAGATGGGGTCGGAGGATCGCGCCGCATCGCCGGCGTGGAGAAGATCGGGCTCCGCAGCGAGCCGCATCGCTGATGCATCGCCGATGCATCGGCGATGCGGCGCGATCCTCCGACCCCATCTTCTCGGAACCCATCTGGGAGGCCTAAAACATTGCCTCGGATAAAGAACCGAACTCTATACATCGATGATTTTTCCGGTCCGGCACTGAGATTCGTACGCGAAAACGGATGATGGTGTATACGGCGTCCTGATGTATATACATGTTTGGTTGCTTCCACAAGACAGCGGGGAACCAAGTATACACCTCACCACCCCAGCGTCGCCCCCGACCCTCAAACAAGTCCTGGGGTTGAAAAGCCGCCCGCCACTGGGAACGTATATGCTCCAGCTTCCGATCTCACGTGGCACCGTCCGAGATCTGGGCCCCCATCGCGCCGCGAGGGGCGCCCAGCTCCTGAGCTGGCCTCGGGCGCGCCCGCGCCGGGCGGCGCCTCCAGCATGCGCTCGGGGGCGCCGGCGCTTGCCGACGAGGAGGCGACAACCCCGCCTGCAAGGGGGCCTCCTCGTCGTCGTCGTCGTCGCCGCCGCCGCCGCCGCCGTCATCGTCGTCGTCGTCGTCGTCGTCGTCGTCGTCGTCGTCGTCGTCGTCGTTCGTCGTCGTCGTCGTCCTTTCCCATCCCCTCGTCGTGGCAAAAGAACAACGCAATGTTTTCGACAATTTGCAACCTCTGGGGACCCTCGACTGGCGATGAGACCATCAAAAAACGGCTCAGGATGAGAAGCCGGTCCCGGGGAAGGGGATCTGCCCTCTGGGGGGCGACGCTGTGAACAAAATCGTGATGGAGGATGTCTGGGTCGTTGTTCGCCTCTTTAGGACGATGAGAAAAGGGAGGACGAAGACAACGACGACGGCGGCGGACCGTCTCCTCCTCCTCCTCCTCGTCCTTCTCCTCCTCTTCCTCCGCGCTGGCAGACCTCCCCCTCCTCATCCCTTTCGCTTCTTTTCCTTACAAATAACTCCTCCCTGTCGCACCCCGGTCGAAAGGGCGGGTTGGGCGTTTCGCCTGAAACTTCCTCACCGTTGATGATCCTGCAGCTTAAGAAGTGGCAGCAGCTTCACAGATGGAGGGCAGGTCGTTTCCAACATCTGGTTCTCTCTTTAGCGCCGCGCACATTCGATTTCAAAAGCAATATGAAGTTTTACGAACTAATGGCGGATCGTCTTCAATAAGTGACTATCACCTTAGCGCTGCGCACGCTCGTTTTAAACATGTGCCAAAGTTTCACGGATTGACGGCGGGTCGTTTTCAAAATGTGGCTCTCGCCTTAGCGCCGCGCACACTCGTTTTAAACATTTGCCAGGAGTTTCACGGATTGAGGGCGGATGGTTTTCAACATGTGGCTCTCGTATTAGCACCGCGCACACTCGTTGAACAATTTGAAAGAGTTTCACGGATGATGGGCACCCCGCTTTCAAAATGTGGCCTTCGCCCAAGCGCAGCGCACATGTGTTTTACAACTTTGTAACAGCTTCACGGATTGAGGGTGGTTCGTGCTCAAAAAGAGGCTCTCGCCTTAGCGCAGCGCACACTCGTTTAAAACAGTTGCAGCCGTTCCATTAATTTTCACGGTTCACGTACTCGAAACTGTGTTTTAGAAGGAGTCAGGATTGTCAGGACGCAGCAGGTACGCTGAAACACGGTGTTGAAATTCCAGGAACGGTGTTCTGGCACGATTCAGGACCGCCAGTACGTACCAGTCGGGCTAATTCGTGGCGTTGAAATCCTGAGAATCCTGTGTTGGTGCGCTTCTGGATCTTCAAACGGTTGTCCGCCTACGGGGAAATTCGCTCAATGGAAATGAACCCTTATAGGGTCCTATGAAGAAGCTTGAAGGGAGGGTGTATTCCGGCATCGTTGATGAGTCTTGAGTTGACACTGGTCCTCCTCCTTATCCTCCTCGCTCTCCTGCTCCCCCTCCTCCTCATCCTCCTCCTCTACCCATCAGAAGAATGTCGGGACCGCGATCAAATCGCAACGGGACGCTGTTGCCATGCATCGGGACGGTTATCGGGAGGTCTGGAACCTCCTCTTTTAACTCCGTCCTTATCCTCCTCCGCCTCCTCCTTCTCCTTCTCCTCCTCGCCTCGCCCCCCTTCCCCCTGCTCCTCCTCATCCCGTTTCCTCCTCGTCCGCTTTTTCTTACTCCTCCTCCTACTTGTGCTCCTCCTCTTCCCTTCCGTCTGCACTTCATCTCTCATGGTTTCCTAATTGCCCATGCCGCGCTCTGTCTGTGACTAGTGCTGGGCCATCGAACTGGCACCGGGGTGGGGTGGCGAGGCAGAAAGAAGAAGACGATGAGCCTCACCACCACCCTGTACTTACGTCCCTGCTAGCTTACAAAAGGGGACCCAGGTTCGGCCTCCTCTCCTGCAATCCAGAGACAAAGCCAAGTGAGCCCAACCGACCTCCGGTTTGCCGACGGCTGGATCTCCTCTCCAGTTTTCTGGCCACTTTCTGGGCCAACGCCGCTGTATCACGTTGGGCTGAATACGGCGCCCGCTCAGCAAGCGTGAAGCCGAACCTGGCACGCACCTGCTGGGTCGTACGCCCCCCCCCCCCCCACAAACACACATACGCACACTTCGCTCGCGCACGCTTCCCTCTACTCCCCCTGCCCAGCAAGGTGCAGAATGGTGGCCCCATCGAGGCCCGAGGCACGCGGCGGCAGCGAGATCGTGAGGCGATGGCTGGCGGGCGGGTCCTGTGGTCAAGCCCGCGCATCCATGAAATAAGCCTCTGGCCGCTATGGACCTTTGCCTGCTCAGGGCAATCGTCAGTGAGGACGGTGCACAGGGCTGGCAGGGGCAGCGAGTTCCGCGCGCCGTGCGTCGAAGGACTGTGGACCCCTGGGGACTGGGACGCCGTCAGGCCCAGAAACTCGGGCGATGCCCAGAGCGTGCCTGGTGAGACGCATCGTGGCGGCCAGCTCAGAGGCTGTTTCTTTCCACGTGATGGTATTTGTGGCGACGCGAAGATTCGGGGGGGCGCACCTGCTGGATCGAAGCGCCGGCTTCCTGGTCCTGAGCCCGAAGGCGGCTGCTCAGGCAAAGGGTCCGAGTCTACAGTGCCTCTGTCGGCCGCCACGTGGACTTCCTGCTAGCCTGCCCAACGCACCACTTGCCAGGCAGAATTCTGCGAATCCTTGATGAATGAGCGAACCGTCCCCGTGGGCTGGTGAAGCTTGGCCCCACGCTTGGGCAATTCGTTAGCCCTTCCCGAACCGAGTTAACACAGCTGCGCGGAGCGGCCTGCGTCCATGATGAGCGAGCTCTGACTGTGGAGACCGTCCGAAGCTCAGAGTCGCACGCATGACGAACACGGTCCCACAACTGCGCGCTCGTTCTTTGGATCTCTGAATCATCTGGTCGTGCCCAAACAACCGATAACAAAATACCCATCGGGAAACATAGTATCCGACATCACCCCTCTGCGCGGCCCGTGGCTTGGCTGGCCGAGGGCGGGGGGTGGTAACCGGCTCGAGGGGAGAGGGAATAATGCCCGCGACCAACCAAACTATCAAGGTCTTGCACCCAGGCTGCCACCTGGCGAGCCGCGGACTGAAGATCCTCACCCGGCGCCGCACGACGCTCCGCCGCGACAAAATCATGGCAAAACATCATGTGGAACAGCGCGCCTGGCCTGCCAGGCAGGGCTTGCAATCGAGGGGCGTGGCCAGGCCACGAGCAAACATGCGGTTTGTGGCCGGCGACGCTGCGAATACTTTATGCGGATCGTTCCTAGATGGTGCGGTGTCCAGAAGGGCTTGCACGGGCCTTTCATGGCTTCTCGAAGGGCCCCCCGAAGGACGAAGCGACTCCACACCTGAGAGGAGGATGCCTCGCCACGCCAGCCAGCGCGCTTGCTCAGAGGCTAGGGCGCGCAGATCCAGCGCGGCTCCGCGTTCAGAGCGGAGCCTCCCGGCGTCCTGGACTTGCCGCTGGAGAGCTCGCACGCGCCGCGCATAAGTAAAGCCCGGGGATCGCGCTGCCCTCCAAGAGCGCCTGGCCGCTGCGAGACCGTCGGCGGCCCCTTGGAGGGCCATTTGCAAGGTTCCCAGCGGGGGGCTGCCGCCTCCGACCGCCCAGGCCCATGGCAAGATCACGTCGCTATGGCGCAAGCCCATCGGGCCCATGTTTACAGCGGCCGAGGACGAGCGGGCGCGGGGCCCCGCGTGGGCCGCGCGCTTCCACTCGCGCAGGCCCTCATGGGCCGCCCAGCGCAGAGCGCGCAACTGAGCTTCGTTCAGACCAGACGCGCTGGACCCCCATGAGGCCGCCGCGCGAGGACCCGCGCCATGGGCGCGATGCGCGGCCGGAACTCATCTGAAGCGTCGAAGGCGCCAACTCTTCCTGGAACCATTGCATAATCTGGCTTCGGGCGCGGTGGCGCGTCTTCGCTGGCCGCGCGCGGCGCCCGGCCCCAGGCGCTCGGCGAGCCCCCCCGCCCGGACAAGCGAGGGCCCGACGCGGCTGAAACGAAGCCCTTGGCAAGGATGGCAGAGGGCACAATGAAGCGCGATTCCTAGCCCGCCAAAGCGAGCTCCAGCCTGGCATGCTCTGAAGCCCACCTGTTTCCAACGGGCCCGAGCTCCGTGATCGCGCGGGAGGTTGCGCCCGCCCCCCGTGCTCGGCGCGGGCAACGTGCTATGGCGATCAGGCGGGCGCCGCCGTCGTCGGCCCAGCCGATAAATAAAAACTATGACGACGGGCCAGAGCGTCGGCGGAGATGGCGCGGCCTCCTGCGGCGGGGCCGCGCCCGGCAGACGCCGCTGGAAGCCGGGGTCCAGAGGCGCCCGCGCCCAGGGGCCGATGCGACCGATGCCGGGACCTACATCGCGACGCAACCTCGCAAGGGCCCTCCGGGACTGTGAATGGGGTTGAAGTACAAGGGCACAGAACCCCTGATCCGTTGGTAGAGGGAAGGAGGGATAGATGGATGTCTTTCCCTCCTGCACGATCAAAGGTATGATCGATCCGTCCCAATACCTGAGCCCAAACGGCCAGGCGCAGGAGAGGTGAGGATAAGGAGTATATATGAGGGTATCACACGGGTTCTATTCACACCCCCCGTCCCGATTCCCGCCCGTGAGGGTAGGACTCGGGAACAGAGGAAAAGAATCCGTCACCCTTTTACTCCTTCAATCCTCAGGTCTGCAGGCAGCTGAGCGCAAAGTCAGTGTAGCCTCAGCTGCAAGGTAAGGTAAGAAGGAACACCCAGGGTCCCAATTTCTTCGCCAAGCACGCTTTGGTGCCCCCTCGGTGCGTCCCCCAAAACGCTTCGGCACTCGAGGGCGGAGAAGAATGAGACACGGGTGGGCGGAGAAAGAGGATCTGAGCAAGTTAAAGCAACTTATAATCTGCCTCGCCTATGCGAGGCAGGTGTTGCCGCCAGCTGTCAGATCATTCTCAACGCAATGGAGTCAGGCTCTAAAGAATATGCATTCTGTGATCGTGTTGATGAACACGATCGTGTTACGAAACGCATC